AAATTAACAAGGAGGGTGACTTTCATAATCGGAACATTATAAACAATTGTTATAATAAATAGCAAATAACAAAAAGGGCGACCTACATAATCGGAAAATTACAAACAATGGTTATAACAATGGCGATGGAAGATATGGAAATATTATGGAAAATAACAAAAAAGGCGATCTTCGTAGTCGTAAAATTGTCACACCATAGACAGCTTCGCCGTGATCGCTATTTGTTTTTCCAAAACCCTTGGGAGCGGCGGCCCTACCTTGCCGATCTCCTGCGAAGAGAGCAGCTGATCGCGAGCCAGCTGCAGCTGGAAGATCATCTCCGAGAGGCGGCGCTCCTTCTCGGCCACGCTGTCGGGCCCGGCGAGCGCGTGCGACAGCGCCGCGGCCCCGTCCATGGCCGCCAACGCCGCCGCGGCCGCCGACGCCGCGTCGACGCCCACGCCGCCGCCGCCGCCGCCGCTCAGGCTGCTGCGGGAGCACGCGACGGGACACATGTTACACGGGCAGAAATGGCATGACGTCCAATGCGTATTAATGTACATGAAACTTATATATATTTTACATTAAAAAGAGCTTGAAATGTTTGAACACTACATTTAATGATATATGAACATTAATGTAATGGAACTTATGTACTTTGTACATTAAAAAGAGCTCAATGTATTTGCACGGTAAATTTAATGCTCAAGTTAAAATCAGAGTAGATTTAATTCAGAGTTACTCCCATTTCCTCTGTCTCGAATCATTCATATCTTATATTCACAATCACCAATCCATGAAGATCATTCATTCTTTCCTTTTATATATGACCATAAAGCTTTGACTATAGTCACCACCTCTAATCATTAAAGACTACCTTATAAGGAAGTGATGGGATAGAAACGGAATTTAAACGGAAGTACAAGTACAGATAGGTAAAAATGGATAACCGACATCTATTTACTTAATTATATACCTTTAGTCACGTTAGGACAGTACAACAGATGATAATCACAAGATAAAATATCACATCATTTTATTAAAAAATTGCGTTATCACTCTAACTGGGATTCGAAATTGCGTTAACGTACTCATTATATGAACATTACAATGCTTAGTGTCACTTTTTAACAAAATATTATCATCAATATTCAACATGGCACAAAATCAAATGTATTATCAGTTAATTTTTCCACTAGAACATGTAAAACATTTGATCCCTTCCCTCATAGTGTTAAGACACTCTCATTTTCAAATTATGTAGGAAATTTCTATTGCAACAGAGTGCTGTGGTTGCATCGCAGTCTAGAAAAGGTTGTCGTGCATGTGTATTCCTCGTGTAATTCTTCAATTGTAATTACGTGTTTATAAAAAACACATATTATTCTAACTTTGCATCTAAGCGTCAACATAAAAACAATACTTTGTTTCAAAAGGATATGCACATTAATTTGAAACCACTATTTACAATTGATGAATATTGACGTAGCAAAAATCCATTACAAACGGCCAGCACCGGCCCAACAGCAGCATCAGTAAGCAATAAAATCATCATTAAAAGTCGGTTGGGGGTCGTGAGCGCGAGTAGAGGTGAAGTGGACGAAAGGGAACGTGCCAGCGCATGCGGCGGTGGCTGCGAGGGCGATGCGGAGCGGCGGAGGGGGACGGGAGGGGACGAGCGCAATGGTCAGAGAGGGGAAGCGAAGTGCAGCGCGGGGGGGGGCGCAGGGCGGCGGGGCCCGGCCCAGGGACGCTAATGTGCGCAGGCCTCCGCTGGGGGCGCGCATTCCCTTCAGCCCGCCGACGGCACTCGCGCCTTGTGCCGCGTTTGCATTAGCACTGCGCCGCCCCGCCACCCCTGACCCCGCCCCGCCCGCCCCGCTCCGCGCCGCCTACTCGGCTACGCACCGGCACATGCCCGCTCTCATCCGTGCTATGCAGCCCTCCCCGCACCCGGCACCACCAGCTATCTGGTATTGTGCCTAACCTTTTTAAATAATTTCAATACACTACACCAATTAACAAGTACTCTGATGATTTAATCTTTTGCCTTTTTAAAATTATTGCTTAAGGGCCCTTTTACCAATTTAATAATTATACATTTAGTGATACATTTATAGTGTAATTTTCTTACTACTACCTCAGATATCGACAACAATCAATGGAGAAAATTATGGACATGCAATCATCATAACACCTCAAGAGTGTGATTGATTTCATAGATTTTGTACGTCTCTCGAAATGTTTTAGCACACGGAGGAGAATACTTCAAACGAGTGTCCGCGAGTCCAACAGGATTTGCGAGGGCTGTGGCACAGGCGGGGCGGGGGGGGGGCCGCGTGGCTCTATTGCCGTGGGAGAGAAGGTGGTGGTGGCGTGCAGTCTAAAGGAGTCAAGGGTGCCACGGTCTGATGAAGTCGGGTTGCGTGGCGTCAGCGGCTGGGTTCGTGGGGGGGGGGCGAGGGCTACTTGGGGGCGTCGGGATGCGCCCGTGGTGCCGCGGCGCCGGACGCCGCACAAAGCCCCGATCTCTTAAGGCCCCGATCGCCGCCTTGCCTTAGTCAGTTATGCGAGTTTTACGGGAGAAGCGGCTATCAGCCCCCTGTATCGACTCCGCAGTCCGGCACGGAAGCACATCACACCAGCAAGCGGAAATATTAGCGCGAAAGACAAATCGCAATTTGAATGTTTTGAATCAAAATTGACTAACGTGTGTGTACGTTTCTAAGTGTGTGTGTGTGTGTGTGTATGTCTGAGTATGTCCCTCTCTTTATCTCTTTCTCTCTATCTCTTACTCTCTCTTTCTCTCTGTTTCTCTCTATCTTACTCTCTGTGTGTGCAAATAGTTGGTTGAGAACAATTGCTAGGTGGGAAAAGTGAGTTAAAGTAAAAAACATGGGTCAGTTGTAAGGTCGTCGCTGCGGTGAACAGAAAGCGATCAAAGCGTGTGCGGAGAAAAACATAGCAGTGGCAGGCGGGAGAAAAGTATTGTCAAACGACAGTCTTCAGACGTCATTTTTTTTTATTCAAGGTAGCCTTTCCTTAAAGTTTTCAAAGACTCTCTGTTTGCGAACCCGTTTCCTTCAGACATCGTTCTTACGCAAATTGGATCGTTTTCCAAAATTCATTCTTCCGTGTGTGGTTATGCAAAGGCAAAGTAAACTTCTTTACAAGAGTAGCAATATATTCGGAAGATTTGCATGGGAATGGTTGAAGTTGTCCCGTCTCTTGTTCGACAATTGTTTTTAACCTTGAGGAGCTACACACCCCTTTACTTAAAAAACAGAATTCTTCAATATCCCATTAAAAGATTTTCTACTTCTGGCTACTACGTTCTTCACATAAACTATTATATATTTATATTTGTTGAAACAAACACACTTTCCTCTGATTAAAACTGCAGTAAACTGATTATTTTAATACATTTTGTTTAATACTTCTTACGTTTCTTTGCTTTGAAACCTGGCATTTCAGAGTTCACATGCACGAATTTGGATCTTATTGTTCTCTATTCGCTTCTCAATTAAATACCTTGATGAAACTGCAGTTGTAAAGGTTGATTAGTATAAGAGTGCTAACAAGTAGGGAGAGTTTATCTAGTAATTTAATTTTGTAAATTAGAATAAATTTGACTCAAGAGAAATGAGTTGGGGTATAAATAATGGCATTTGACTCTTTGGGCGGAAACTAGATTATTGACTGATACAAAGGAGAGGGAATGTAGTTCTATCCATATAGAAAGTGAATTCAATAATAGACAAGGAAAGTGGCATGGGAAGAAGGACGAGAAGGCAGAGGAGGGGAAGGAAAGACAGTGAGTAAGTAAGTGAGTGAGTGAGAGAGAGTGAGAGAGAGAAAGAAAGAGAGATAAAGAGAGAGCGCAAAAGAGATAGAGAGGTGCGGATGCGTGGGTGAGAAAAAGGGCAGAGTGAAAGAGAAGAGGGTTCGGATGTGGTTGAATGCAAGAAGAAGAAAGGCGAGTCACAGCCGGAAAAGGGTTAGGTCACATCGGAATGACGAGAAAGAAGGAAAACGTAATACGTCGTAGAGCCCGCGGAGATAAAACACACGAGCAAGTCAACGAGTATCCCAATGTGTGTGTGTGTGTGTGTGTGTGTGTAACGAGGAGAGAGGCAGCGAATGGGCCGGTGAGGTGGAGGGAACCATCCGAGAAGACGCCGGCTGACCGCGGCTGCGAGCCCTGACCGCAGAGCTGACCCGCACTTCGTTGTTTCCTATTCCGATAACGCTCGGCGGCGGCGGCGGAGGCGGCGGCGGCTGCGTAACGCAAGGCCCATTGTCTCCGTCGCGCAGGCCTTGACGTCATGCGCCTGACGGCTGCTCGGCCGCGGCTCGCGGATTATGCAAGCAGCACCAGTGGCGTTCAACGAAGCCACGCCAAACCGCAGATTTTTTAAGTGGAGAAATGGAGCGAAGACTGGCTAAACTCTCCAGTACTCGTGACGAAGCAGTAAGGACAGAATTGTAAAATACAAAATTGCATCAATTCCTCGGCGTTTTCTACTCATTTTCTGTGTGTAAAAACTATAATAACTGCATTTATTAAATTTAAAATACTGATGTGATGATGCCTAATCATAGTAAGTACAAACCATTCCTTCAATTTTTTTTACAAAACCAATTACTAAATAAAATAAAATAATATATCTGAAAACATACACCAAGTCTGAATGATACTGTCTGAAAAAGATTGACTAAAGTAGTATATTCAATAGACCTAACATCACTGGCTGCGAAGTCAATTTTAAGCAGATCGTTGAACAAAAAATATCGTGTTGAACTTGCTCTTCACGAAGAGTATTCATATCTTTAATTAATTTCCTGACCACACAAGCCATCACAACGAAATGTGTTAAACAGAACGCTGTACGAACGTACATTAGACATGCCTGTCGCATTGAGTCATCTGGTTTTCCAACAGTCGTTTTTTGTAACAAACTGAATGGCAAGTGTAACACAAACTGTAATTATGATACTTTCTAAGAATTCTCGCAAGAGCCTCTTCCACGTCACGTATCAAAGATTCAGGGCGGCGCTGGTGAGGGGCGTGGGAAGGGGAGTAGGGGGGGGGGAGCGCCGAACGCGGCGTAAGAGCGCGCTGCGGCCGCGCAAGGAGACAATGAGCGCTTCTGATACGGAGGCGGAGGATGAGAGGAAGAGGTCGGCCGCGATGACGCGTCTGGGACGACCTCGCCGCCCCGCTCCGCCCCGGCCCGCCCCGCTCCGCCGCAGCCTCGGGTGGCGTACAATGGAACCCAGACGGTTGTGGCAGAGATGGGAGGCGGAGGTGGAAGTGATGGTGAGGGCCCAGAGGCGCAACAGCAGCAGAGGAAGTGGGCGGTAGGGTATCGACGGTTGCAAGCAGCAGGCGCCGGCAGGGATGGCGATGAAGGCGAAATGTTTTAATGGTGGGCAACGAGCAACGGGCAACTTCAGCGGTGGCGGTGTTGGTGTTAGTGTTGATGGTGATAATGGTGGAGATAGTGCAGTTGCT